GCGTACTATAGGGATTTCGTCAAGTTAAATAGAGTGTCCCATTGCACGTCCTACATCGCACACCACGCGCTGCAACTCGTCCGCCGACTCTGCCTTCTTGCCGCGCGACGGGCCTCCTGGGGGTACCCAGAATTTATATGTCACAAGGACACTGGATAACAGTTTTTGGGTATTGATGTATCGCCATAGTGCATATCTGACGATGAACGAATTTCATGTGTATAGGTCGTTCATCATCGAATATGCACTATGGCGAATCATGCGATGCCCGGGTTCAACACACTGTGTCATAACACTCGCCGCGCCGCAAGAGCGCGCACATCAGTGGAGCAAGTCTCACGTGTGCACATGATTTTAAAGGCAAATTTAACGATGAAAAGGCACCCCATTAAGTTGGGGAACTTGAGTTAGATGTGGACAGTGATACACAAAATTGGAAAGACCAAGAAAAATGGCCTAGAACCCGAGAAATGGGCCCCTTCCTTGCCCGTTGATTTGCGCATTGATGCGACTCTCATCGGTGCTGCCCTCTTCAAATAACGCTCTCTCTGCTGAACGGCTAGAGACTCAGACGCGAGAGGGGGCGTACACGCAAAGAACGCGCCGATAGCGCCATGCTAGATCGCTGGGGGCATATCCTTCGATGCGAATTGCGTGTCGGTCCGCACCCGGGAGGTCCGCCTGTCTCTCCACTAGTAAGTTTCCCCTTCTTTGACCTCGTCCTTATCGTGGAATCCTCCTTTGAAGGATGAGCATGATTGCAGCAAGGTTCTATCGTAACTAGAGTGCGCACGATGCGTATAGTGGCACATTTTTGTGGTTACATCTCCATATGTAAATCATGCCATATTTCAACCTAAACAGCCCATTTGCTGAAGCTGAGTATTGCGTGTGATTGATGCAAACCTCGTTGGAGTCACAAATAGGTTCGTCTTTCAATACAAATATTTTGAGCAGGAGAGATCTCTTTATTTAATTGCCATTCATGCTGAAAATCTTTGGATGCTGAACAAAGGGAGTGATAGAGGTCACAGCTTGGAATTGAACTTTTTGAATTCGTCTTTTGAGTACATCCTGGGCGCTGGTTGAGGGACGGTCCGATTGTCCACCTCAGTAAAGCTTCCTCTCACCACATTATGCTCATACTGTAGCGCTTCATCGTGGTCGAGTACCGGTGTCACACATGCTTGTTTTCCTGAAATAAAGCCACTCCTATCGTTTATCCAGATTTTTCCGAAACTTCAGTACCAAATAAAAAAGGGCATTACCTGTAAAGAGTTTCATCCACTCATCTCGAGTTTTTGTTCGAAAAATTTCTTCCATTTCCGCTGATACTGTAGCGGGATCGGAGAATATGTCTGACACATCCCTATCAATCCCGAGCACTGCAAATTCCATCAAATTAGTTCATCACTTTCGAAGAAAAACTTCGCGCTGGTTAAGTTATTTAACTGTTCGCTTATGCAGCGGGGATGGTGATGATGACAAAAAGGAGAAAAACCTACTGTTATAAACGCAAAAATAAGTCATGTTCAGTTCTGGCCATGAATTGGCTGCTAGATGAAGAAAGTGTGGAGTATTACGCGTCCGCTGCCAATCTGTCCCTTTTGGGATGCGCCACGCATTTGGTTTATTCAGAAATGCAAAGGTAGTGAAAGCCCGTTCGGCTTGAACAGTGACTGATGGGGCTCATCGGTAGGCAGATCAGTGATCATCTTCAAACGCGGTCTTTACCAGTGCATCAACAAGAAAGGATGCAAGCTCAATGCGGCGTGGCGAGCAGATTCTCCGAAGTGAGCCTGGCGTGCGCACGTGATCGGGTGGCCACTATTTCTAACTGTGACTGTAATAGGCTGCTCAAAATATTCCAACAGACATCCAATCCATGGTTAATCAGCCACAGATGCCGTGTGACCCGTTATTGAGGGAAGAGACAAGAAAACTGACAAAATGACCATGAATGGTGACTTACCTATTGAAAGAGGGTCAATGAAATAGCTAGGAGACAGAAATAGTAGAGTGGACTTCAAGGAAACGATTACGATAGACTCGAGAAGTGTTCAGAGGCGACGTGATGGTGCTCAATGGCACGGAGTGGCGAAAAAAGCTGAGAAATCGTCAAAGAGAACGCAAAACGGGACCCCCTTTTCTTGGGCCTTCTTTTTCCATTACATGAACAATTAATCGGGAATCGGACGTGTGAATGAGTTCACCGCAGTGCGTTTGGTGGCAGCACGCCAAACCACGGCCCAGTCGAGTTGCTCTAGTTGTGCCGCTGCCAATAACGCAGCACGTCTAATGACTAACTAAACTAGTGGGCGGATCGCTTTTGGGGGCGGAGTGCTTTTGAAGTCCTGTTCAGCAAACAGCTCATCTTTTGTCGTGGAAGCGCCACACGTGGCTTCCTTGGCAACCAGGTAACTGATTCCTGTGGTGTATATGCTTCGCGATGCCTCCCACTTATCGTAAGCGCTGCTTTGAGTTTAGGCGATGCACTAAGATTTGTTTTTGTCTTTGATTTTGCAAGCGATGTAAATCTTGTTTGTGTCTATTACGCAACTTGGGTAGATGTGGGAAATATTGAAGCTTTTTGTTTGCGAGTCTTGTGTTACTCACAAGCGCATGGAAGGTACACCAAAGTAATTGCGTATTATGCGATCAGACCTGAAAGATGAAAGGCCAACAGAACATAGTAATCTCAGTGATAAGCTGTTGAATTCGGGCGTGGTGAGTGTTACAGCGCGCGTGGGTTCATTGTAGTTTTAATAGATGATTTATTGACTAGTTAACACATTGACGACAACGCGGGGATATATATCCCGCGCATTGCAGGCCATGTCGGACCGTGCGGGATATATATCCCCCGCACCCATTACACTCATTTTTTTCGCGCACGCCTGATTCTTTTAGAAGTTTCTTGTATTCATTCCATGGAAGAGACCTTGACGTAGCTACAAACATAGTGGCCCTTAGAATGGTCACGTATACTTTAATTTAGAGGAGGATTTCTGAACCATACGAAATCTTCATTTCAATAAATTTTTCGTTTACTTTTTCTTTTATTAATGTGTAAGATTTAAGTAGTAGTAGAAGTAGATAAAGGAACCTTAGGGATGACAATATGTGTGTTTTGACTTAAATAATCAACGTAAAATTGCTTTCGAGGTCCATTGCAGCTAGTTCTGACCAATTTCGCTTTTTCATTGTCATTTCATGTCATTCGATGGAAATTCCACTACTGTACCCCTGGTTAGGTTGCGCACATTACAATTTATTGACTTGGTTCCGAATTGATGATTAGTTGTGGGTTTATCACTCAAAATCTGCTTGAACGACCTGAAGCGAGCGCGCCTGCAAAATCGCCGCGGTCCCACGTGGCCAAAAAAGCCAAAACTCGCGTGGTCGTCAATGTGTCCTAGTTAGTCGCCTGCAAAGATCTATCAGGCAGTGAAGGCGATTCAGAGGTGGATTCCTTTCTTTTCAGTCCAGAATCGGTCTTCCTCCATCCGCCTTTCCACACCGCCCTCGAACACTGTTCGCACCACTAGGATTCTACTAAAATGGCCACGCCTACCTTTTCTGCGTTTTTGGGAAATCGCATGGGGCTACATTTTATGGATTTAGTTTACGTTGAGTTGTGCTTCTGTCAAGAAAAAACCAGTAGTCCAAATCACCAGCATGCAGATTGGAGACTCAGCTATAGCCAGCGATCACTATGACGTAAGCAACCAAACCGCCCCTTTTGGCGCTTCGGCTGGGACCGTATGCTGAATGTTGGGGAGGGGATGGAGTCCCCGACGGTGGACGGACCACTTCAACTCGGTCCTTAGAACCGCCACAATTTGGTGCTTACCTCAGAACTAAGCCTTAAAGAAGAGGACGGGTCCGTCCCCTCTCCAAGGCTTAGTCCTGGGGTGAGCAAACCAGCCCTTCTGGCGGAGCTGCTGGACCAGCTGCACCACTTGCGTCAGTACTCTCCTATCGTACCAACCGAGTTGAAGTAAACCGTCGACCGTTGGGGACCCCATCCCCTCCCCAACATTCAGCATACGGTCCCAGCCGAAACGCCAAAAGGGCTGGTTTGCTTACCTCGATCACTATGGCTGGCTTTCCGAAAAAAAAAAGTCGGCTAATCTCACCCTTGAATAGATTCCTGCTGAACTTGGGCTCCAGAGCGCCTACAGCTAGCCATTTATCATCTTTCGTTTTGTAAGTTCTGAAACAGTCACGGAAGTTAGTATCGGCTCCAGTTTTGATAAGGTTGATGGTAGCGCAGTGCTTATTGCCGGTTTTCAACGCACATACCACGACCTTTGGTTCGAATCCATTTCGAGTTCAAAAAAATATGTTCCTTCGGATATTATTTTTCTTCGGATTCCTTCGGACCTTTGCGATGCAATAACACGAACCAGAAAATGTAAATTATCTTGGCCTCAGAGATTAATTGAACTATCGTGAATTTTTATCATCTTTTCAGGATGTTTTATTCTTTCTAGGCAAATTTTTATCCTGTCATTCTGGACGAATCACTACTTTTCTTTGAACCTTAGCTTGGTTCTAAAACACCGGGTTCCCTCCATAACAAAATTTCGCAGCCGTTGGCTTGAAAATAAAGCGTTTTGCATCAACAACTCCTGCCCAGAGATGCGCCACGCACTTCACAGTAATTACAAGTTGCAAAGGCATTTGAAAGGCTATTTCCCTTTCTCTATGATATGTGAAGTTGAGCGACCTTAGAGTAGGACCCTGGTCGATTCGCCGCTGTTCTACACTGACAACTACCCCCCTCCCCTCCCTCGCCCCGCCCCACCCATCCCTCTGTGGAAAAAATGTGATTCCTTCGTTGATCCTGGCACAGCGATGGGTTGACCCTGAGAGGACAGATTCATTGAAAAATATCCATTTCACAGTGTCTGATGCCGGTGAAAATCCTGACTGCCTAAATTTGACATGGCGCCTCTAACCGCGCGCTACCCCTTCCCTTTCAGTGAGTTCAATGGTACCTGTATATCGGGCAGTCTCCAGAGAACGCTGCATAAGGTTGAGTCCACAAATGTTCGATGTCGTGATAACGTCTGATAAACGACGCCAAATACGACAGGCCTTCAAACATTGAACAGTCAATGATGCAACCGTGGCCACCTGAATTAATATAATGTTGAGAAGGTAATCCTGGAAGGAGCTTTGGAGTTCAACTTCCTAAAGGACATGACGGACCATTTTTCTCTCTTTTCAGTAGAGCCGCCACAATACCAAAAGCAGCGGTCAGTCCTCCACCAGCAAAGTCGGCGAGAAGATTGGCCGGAGGCCAAGGACGAGCACAGTTATGACCTGATGTTGTTGGCAGCAACCCTGGAAAGGAGAATGCTGTTACATGGAAGTGATTGTTGTGGGCAATTACCAGTGATTGAAACGTAGTTGATGTCATGTCCGGCCTCCTGCGCCAATGGGCCTGTTTGACCATATCCAGTTAGCCGGCACACTATCAAACCTTTGTTCTCCTGAAATAGAGGCAGGTTGCCATACGCACGATATGGAGGTTATGTTCTGGGTTACACGGCGTCCATGCCACCTAAGCCGTTCATCTTTCGGGGCAGCTAACTCATACTAGTCGAGCTTGGAAGGACAAAAGCACTGGTTTATGCATCGGCTGCCTCGCCCAGTCAGTCGGTCAGTAAGCCAGCCGCTTAAAAATGTCACAAGGACTCTGGATGGAAGCACAATGCATGGCGCATCCCGGAAAAGTTTGGGTGGGTTGTTGTCGGGAAAATTTCGTTGCTTTTCACACTTGAGAAGAATCCATGTTTGCAAGAACCTAAAGAAGGAGTTCACGATAAGGTCAAAGAAGGGAAAAATTGCATAGTTCGAGACAGGCGGACCTCCTGAGGGTGCGGACCGACGTGCAATTGGCAGCGAAGGATTTGACAATCGGGATCTAGCATGGCTTAACTCTTGGCGCGGTGTGCGGGGTACGCCACCGACCCTCTCTCTAATCACTCCCCGCAGGTCTTTTCGCGGCGAGTGATTAGATGTCAGAGAGAGCGTAGTGTTGAAGAGGGCGCAGCGATGATAGTCGCATCGATGCCTAAATCAACGCGCAAGAAGGGAGTCTCTATTTCTTGGGTTTCGGGCCGTTTCAAATGGTCTCTTCTTTATCCCCACTAACCTCTTCCCTTATTTTCAATGAGCTCACTTTTCATCGTTAATTCTATCTTCAAGGCAAAAATGCCGGAAGGGGTAGTAAATAGGGAAATACAGAGTAGGTACCATAACTTCGTAGCGGCTAGTCTCAAAATTGTACCTCGAGTAGTTTGACTGGATCAAGACCAATTTGTTCCAGAACTCCTGGACGGTAGGGGTCGAGAAGCACGTCGCTAGTTCGACAAAGCTGTTTCAACTTCTCAACGTCCTGTGGTGATTTCAGATCAAGTCCTTGCAGTGTTTTCCTCTCTGCCATGCGTTGCTCCATGGGTATGTCATCATCACGGCTAGGCTGAAAGGCTAGTCAATCAAAGGGTCATTGAAGCATTATTTCTCTTGTTTTTCACTAGCCCTGTACTAATTGCTGGTGATCTAACTAACCTTTTCAATGACGGTAACATTGGCGCCGAAATCGGCCAATACCATTCCACAATGTGGCACAGGAGCGAGTCCGGCCAACTCAATCACTCGAACCCCATTTAAGAGGGTGCGATTCATCTGAGATGGCTGAAGGCGATAAAAAATCGCGTAAAGGAGTCAAATATATGCATGGAGCTTTTTCAATATAGAAATCTTATGCTTGGAAGAAATGGTCAGTGGTGCAGGGAATGAAGAAGATACCGATGAGAAAAGCGACGCCAGAATCTGAGCAGATTGGATCCCTTTCTTTGTCCGTTGGTTACGCAATCGATGACGTGGTGCTTTCTTCAAAGCCAACGCTCTCTCCAACTCCCTCTCTTCTCTCTCTGGTGATGGGTGAGAAAGCGCTGCGGCGATGGCAAGCCGAGACGGGGGGGGGCGTGCCGCACCAAATAGCCCGTTGGGAGGGCCTCGCTAGGTCGCCGGAGCATGACTTTCGCTGCGAATTGCGTAATGGTTCTCATCTTTAGGGGGTCCACCTATTGTTCTACTAGGTGAATTTCCTCTTCTTCGACCTTCGTCCTTATCGTGGATCTTCCTTTGACCCCGCCACAGCCAACATATGATTAGGTGACTACAACGTCGATCAATGAATGGTGGATCGCGAAGGTCGACTGAACTGAAAAGGACAACAGCTAAACTGCCCATCGCACGCTTTCAAACAGGCCACTCCCTCCTTTTCTTCTTGAAATAAGAATCTGGCGTTCATACTAGGTGTCCAAGCGTGTGTGCTCCGTGTCGTGAGGTGTGCGCGAGGTATGTGGTTCATTAGTCCATACATGAACTGCCATTAGCTCACTTTGCAAGGCCCCAACGCCACTGTAGCGCACTTTCGAGTCGCGACAACTGCACATCTGTGATACTCGCTGGCTACTCTATCCAAATCACAGAATAGTTTGTTCAACACGAGTTTCTCTGGGACTGTGCTTGGGTGCATAAGTATGCTAACCAGGCGCAAGGTGCGTTGCGTGAATATGTGAAGGGCTTGTTTGGGACCCGAGCTGAGGAAAGGCGATGGTGCGATGGTAAGGAGCAGCGTCGCTAACACAAGGGGTTGGCAATTTTTTGTACCAGGTTTTCTGATGTTTTCTCGTAAATCGGCCTACTATGTGAATTCATTGTCTAAACCATACAGCATTCTATGTAGATTTTTCAAAAATCGTACCAAGGTTTCAAAAAAAAAAGAATTCGAAGAAATGGAATGATGAGTATTTTCTATGAGCCGTAACCTGGTTAATTTATTTGCGACTATCTCCACAAGATAAGCCAGTAACGCTGACTAGATTAAAAACAGTCTTGCGATAGGGGTGCAGAGCTATTTTATCCTCATTAGGGCTAACTGGGGTGCAAAAAGAGAAGGCATTGTCATTGCCGTTGTTAAGCCCAATAATATGAGTTACCCCCCCCCCATCCCCAATAGTAATGCAAAATCATCCCTAGTAGTCATGCCATACGTCTCGTACCGTCTCTATGCCCCGATGAAATGATGGAAATTAAAATGTTTCATGGCCAGTGGAAAAGGCGTAGGGTTCTGGTTATTAGTGGCAAGTTCGGCTGTGATAAGCGCCTGCTGGTGATTAATTAGGGCCTCGAAAACGAAATCGAACTTGACGGCTGGAACGAATGTCTTCCATGCAAGAAGCTTAGGAGATACATCCTAAATGGAAGAGCTTTTTGTGCGAAATGATCAGGAGAGAAGTGAAATGAGGACAGCATACGGCCACATTAAGAGGAACGAATGGGATCAAGGAACGAGCCTCGTACGGAGTGCTACTAAAATAGAGCTAATTAGGCGTAATGACGGCATGTGGTCCACAAATCGCTGGCAGAAACCCCCTCGTCGCTCCACCAAAGCGATTGGCGATGGTGGTCTTTGATATGATAAGTTGTTTTCGATCAATAGATGATAACACACCCGTGCAAACTACGATGTAGTGTGAGAAAACAAACTTGCACGCCCAGTTGCGACAAACTGCGCCAATTTTTTTCTCGCACTCAAGAGAATGAAGAAGTTCACCATATTGGAGGGAGATTGAATATCACTTTATTTATTGAGTTTTCCACTGAATCGCAAGTTCGCGGAATGTAGTAGACATTTCAATATCTCAATAAATTGTTGTTTATCAGTTGACTCAATAGGTTGGTTTTTCTGTGAATATACAAGAGGAAGCGATGAGCTTTAACAAGATCAGTACATAACTAGTCCTTATTGGTCGATCATATAAGTAGGTATAATAAATGACAGTTTCTGAGCACGCCTTCCTGCTAAAATTCTCCGAAATCGTACGCATTCGTAGACGATTTAGGCCACCAGAACGCTCCCAAGCTATGGCACATTCAAGGAAAATACGTTGATATTTAAAAGAGGCTACATTCGAGTTTGTTTCAGAAGAGACCTGCTTCGAAACCTATTTTTTAGCCTTTCGGCCCAGACGCCTGTGAGGCAGTTGCCAGGTAGTTTCGCGTCAAAGGATATTGTATTTGTATTCTGGGGGTTAAACCTGAATTTTTAGACAAATTTCGCAACGAAGACCCATTTAGAGAAAATCATCATCACCCGCTGAACGGGGGGGGGGCAGCAAAGTTGAAAAAGGGACTGAACTTGTGAAAGCAATAACTTCCAAGTTCTCTCATCTGAATCCTCGGCGTTTCCGTCGTTGTTATTGCAAACTGTGAGCTGCCCTCTCTAACTCTCTAAAGTTTCTCAAGTCTCTCTAAAAAGACCTTAACCTTAACAACCTCGAATAAAAAGTAAAACTCAACAACTTGCAAAATCGTTTTTTTTTTCTACAATACATCGAAGAAAGAGATTAAAGTATAAATAAATGAAATTTACATACCCACACCAAAACGTTCTCAAATGGTTCAACAATAAGTAGGGTCAGTCTCTTGAAAGTGAAAATATACAATCAAAAAGTCTCTTGGAAAGAAATCAGATCTCTCACAGCGTGGAATAGCAAAATGTCAGCATATTTAGAGCGCTTTCGAACAATGTAACCTACAAGTAAGTCAGCGTAAATATTCCGTACTGCCGAATGAAAGAGAAATTTCCCACGGGACTGCTAACCAATTTTCGATAGATGTGCACAGAAACACTCCACGGATTGTACGTTGCAGATCTTAATTAACTCTCCACTTTTGCGCTAAACGACTCCAAATAATGAAGGAAAACATCGGCGTAGTCAACGCAAAGGAGCAAGAGCCTTTTTGGTCGATTCAGACAATTTTTGCTCTGAACAAAAAGGAGGCAATTGACTAAATGACGAATTTTCGGATTGACGCCTTGGTATCAGAGAGGACTGCTAGGAGCTAATTGATCCAATGAGTCTCTGTGCCTGCTGTTCTCGGAAAGAGCCTGAGCAATAAAAACCTATACTAAACCTGCACGAAAGTGCCGATTTCGTATTCAGTCTCATTGCATCCCTGCCAAATTACTCAATCACATCATCTCTTTTTAGGGCTACAGTCATCGGAATCAAAATATATTCAAGGATTAATTGTGGGAGACGAAATGAAGGGGGCGCCGTGCTCTCTGTTTCTATTTGAATTCGTGGTGGTGTTTGAACACGATTAAGCCCAAGCGATAACCTATGATGACAGTAGATGAATGTATATCATGATTGACAAATCTCTGGGCTAATTAATTGAATTTCTGGGGTTAGAGAGTACCTTACTACTATAGATAATTCGCTAAGTATGTCTGTGTGTGTATGTGTGTGTAGGTCTGTGTGTGTGTGTTTGTCACGAAATTCGTAGCTCGGGTCACAGCAAAAAGATAGCGCCATGGTTTTCTTACATATGTTATAGGGGGTGGGATGGGGACACAAGTGGTACGTGATAGGAACTGATAACGACTGATAATAGCTGATAAGAGGGGCTAGAAAGCGAGCATCGCCAATTTCGTTTTGTCGTTCATATTGGTACTAGAGCGTCTATACTTACAAGTGTTATGTGGTGGGGTGGTCCCGGGACAATGGTGGTACATGAATGGAAGCGATAGCAACTGATAAGGGCTGATAAGGGGCGTCAGAACGCAAAAGTCGTCGATTCCGTTACCCAGCTTGCGTTGACACTAGAGCGTCCCTACTTACAAGTGTTATAAGGGGTGGGACGGGGACATTGTTGATGGGTGATAGAAAGTGGTTACAACTGATAAGGGCTGATAAGGGGCGTCAGAACGCAAAAGTCGTCGATTCCGTTACCCAGCTTGCGCTGACACTAGAGCGTCCCTACTTACAAGTGTTATAAGGGGTGGGACGGGGACATTGTTGATGGGTGATAGAAAGTGGTTACAACTGATAAGGGCTGATAAGGGGCGTCAGAACGCAAAAGTCGTCGATTCCGTTACCCAGCTTGCGCTGACACTAGAGCGTCCCTACTTACAAGTGTTATAAGGGGGTGGGACGGGGACATTGTTGATGGGTGATAGAAAGTGGTTACAACTGATAAGGGCTGATAAGGGGCGTCAGAACGCAAAAGTCGTCGATTCCGTTACGCAGCTTGCGCTGACACTAGAGCGTCCCTACTTACAAATTCTATTTGTAGTGGTACGTGCACACTGTATCATTGTATGACCAGCCTTACTTAATAGCAGTCTATTGCATAAACTCAATCAAGTCTTCAGCAAATGATAACTTTCATTTCCTATCAAGAAAGCCCAAACTCATTAAACCGCTAATCCTTTCGGGGTTTTAAATATATCCTTCTATTATATAAAGCGCTAACTTTGTGTGTCGGTTTGTGTATCTGTATGTGTGTGTGTGTGTGTGTGTATGTATGTGTGTCCGTCCGCAAAATGAAGTGAGTGAGAAGGAAGCTCATGGGATAAACAAACCGCTAACAAATCGGGTAGCTTACAGGATTTGAGATATCAATGTTTTGTAGCAGGATAGTTGTGATAACACTCTTAGGGCTATATAAACACCTGCTTAGCACACTTCCGTTCATTCCACATGGTGCTGCAGTGGCAGCTGGAGGGCAGTGGAGAGAGGAAGGGAGGATGAGGAAGGGAAGCGAAAAATCTACCGTCATATCATGATTGTGTCCCTTCTACTGTATGAAACACCATTGTGTTGCATACGCGTCACTTCCAGGGTGTTGGTGTCACAGGAGGAAGGGACCATAGCGGAGGATAGAAAGCTTGCGCAGGAAAGGAAGGTCCCGGCGGTTGACGGGGGACTAATCTGGTAAAGGATAAAGGATAAAGCATTTGCCGTTGATCAATCCCTTTTTGGGATGCGGCACGCATTCTACTTCCATTTGTACATTCGCAGTGGCGTTTGAATGCGATGTGGCCTATACAATGACTTGCGGGGGCCAGCCGATGTACAAGTCAGTGTTTTTATCCTCCCAGACAAGTCTGGTACCAATTAACCGACCCCGGAGGGATGGAAGGCTTGGTTGGCCCGGGCGACTCACGACCCAGGATTTGATCCCCGGACCGCTCGCGTGGTGAGCGCGCCACTTGTCACTACACCACTTCCGCCCTATTGTAACTAATTGGTAAATTATAAGTGCATAAGCCTTAGCTCCTCACTTATGTAAATAGGCATATTTCGTTTTAATTTTGAGACTGACAGCAATCCTATTCACCGCTAAATTATCTGAATTCAAGAAGAATGCTGGATGTTTACAGTTGTGAGATAATACCAGTTCAGCTCCAGACGTTATCACGCGTATTCTCGATGGACTTCAGCGAAACTGGGAAAGGTCTAACACATTCAATAGTGAGGTGGCTAATGGAGGGCCTCATGCTGATATTCCATGGGTCTTTCAGTTTCACTAAAGCCTGCCGTGTGATGCGCGCGATAGCGGGCGGAGCAAAACTGGTTGCTGAAAGTGTGACAAGGCAAAATGGAAGCACGGCGAAGTAGTCGGACAGAAATCCACAACTGAGCCATTTTGGCCATCAATTTTCCATGGAACAATTTCAGTCATTTCCATTCCTTCATTAAAGCTTCAAAAAAACTTTGACAAGGCCTTTTCAAAGATCACATGATGGGAATGAGCCTTTAAGTTTCGTATTAGATCCCTCGCATGGTTATGTTTGTTCCGAAGAGATTTCATTTTCCTGGAATACTCTAGAAATTGTTGAAAAGCTAAAGCGGAAGCCTACAAATTTTTAATCCCCTATGGAAACCCTGTGTTCTACAAAAGTAATCATATTTGTCACCAGCCTCTAATCCAAAACGATAATCAAACATAAGACAGAGGTAGCCACTTGGATAAAGTAGTACTATAATTTATTTGTTATGAGTAAATACAATGTACAGGAAAACAACAAGGGTTTGAGATCGGAACTATGAAGCTTCTATCGTATTGCTACGCAAATAATCTCTGTACATTGCATTCGCCGAACCGCTGTCCGGAGTGAGCGGTGGAGTATTCTCGGGTGCCTTCTCTCCGGATGGAGAAATATGTTCATCGCTTTTGTTGCTCCATGTGTTCTTCGGCCTTCTTTTCTACACGTTCTCCATTCGATGGTGCAGAAGAGGAAGGGCCTCGACGGCCAATCAACCAGAATGTTTCCATGACTCCTTTTCCCTGAAATGAAATTAGACTTAAAGACAGAGACTACGATGGATGGAGGGCGCAGTTTTGATGACGTCACTGAACGTTATTGGTTGACTAGACCCTTTAGGGCCTCGAGGGGTATGGTTGGACCCAATCCTAACGCCGTCTCATCAATGACGCTTTCAGCTCCACACCTACATTTTGTCCCTCCCCAGAACTGCCCCTCCTCCAAATGCGAGGAGGGAGAAGAATCCCTGGATTTCCATTTCGGAAGTACACTTCGAACCAAACGGCCGTATCACCATTCTAATGTTCCGACCTCATATTCTGCCAGATTATTGGTGCAGGTATAAGAAAATACATTAAACGCTCAGTTATACGAGGAAATGGATATTTACCGCCTCATTTTCGTACGACTCTCTTAGGCGCTGTGCTCTTCAAGGCTAACGCTTTCTCCCAAACGGCCAAAGTCAGACGGCGAGAGGGTGGGCGTGCTGCGGCGCGGCAGGAGATGACCCATTCGCTAATCCACTCACACGAGGGCATCTCCTGCTGATAAAAAGCCCCGTCACACATTCTTACGAGGTCCGGCGCTTTTATTCGTAAAACTTCCCTTCCGACTTCCAAAGAGTCCCTCTCTCTAAATACGATATAGTTTGAAACTTTCGGACAGAGTTAGAACATAAAAATCGATGAGCTCATTTCGAACTGAATGTAATAATATGTTGAAGTTATTGCCTAATACCAGGTCGCTTGGCTTTGCGGTTAAGACATGGCGCAACCTAAATGACTCTAATGATGTCACACGATTGCGATATAAAAAGTTTACAAAAATTTAAAAAACCATATTCACCTGCCTGTGTGGTTGCATGGCGTCTGGGGGCCGAGTTAGCGTGTTGTGGACTTTATGAGGACTTCTCCTCTTATTGATTCATAATTGATTGTATTCTCTTTCATCAAAAGTCGTGCAGATTCTTTAGAACAAATGAATGTACCACTGAAATGGAGCAAAATATTACTCAACAATTTGCAAATATGCTTTTGGAATTTTCTTTCGACCATATTTTCTAGAAACCTTCAGAATCCGCAGTGCATGCGATCTTCTCACGAAGATTATCTTATTGGTGCAACTCAACGCTCCCGTTGCTTTCCCATCCGTACGAGTGTTTACAGTGCTCCAAACCAGAGGCATATCGGCATAACTCAAGCCTAACTACATTCCGTATGCGACGCAAGGGCCTTGAAAATATTGCATCATTCAGTGAACTTTCTCCATATTCATCAGGCAAGGCTTTTCATTTTAACCAGCAAAACTTAGTCGAAGAGAACATAATGCCCACTCACGGATGTCGTAGTGTGAGTGAGATGGCTGGCATGTGGCACGTGGAGATAAAGTTAAAAACAGCTGAAGATGAACGTTCGAGGAACAAAGTTAGTGGCAAACGAGTTAGAGACATAGACGAGAGAGCCATGGGAAGACAAGGAAAACGGAGAACGCCTTCGCGTAGACCCTTTCAGCATCTTCCGTCGCAACAGCAAGTGAGAGGTTTCAGCCTCCTTGTCTTGCAGTTCCATACTGCGCAATTACAAGCCTTTTCTATCTTGCAAATAGCCCTATTGTAACTCATCGAAAGATAGTCCATAACGATTCTCCCATCAATTTCATGTTATAATTGGTGTAGTTCCTTCTGCTTCAACACCAATCGAGCTTTGTTTTAATCGCTTTGCCTAACGTTCAGCGCTATTGGCCTTTCGGAGCCCTTTTTGAGAGTCGGGCATTAGGAGCACTTCCAATTTAAGCAGATAATAGTTCTTCCACCTTGGAAGTTTATGATTACTTTCTGTAAGCGGTAAATTGTTGAAAGAATTGTCACCTGAATTAACCGTCCCCGCGGGAAAGAAATTCGAGTTACCCGTCCTTTGACGAGCTGATATCCTGAAGTCATCAACAAACTTCATGAACGACAGCGACAGCTCGGAGATCTCTTTGATGTGAGCGTAGCCATTCCTCACTGGAAGACCAGAGACACACAGATATCCATCGCCAATCGATTCCACCTATTATTTCGTTCTTGTTGTAGGTTCTACAGATTACCGAAGACGCGTCGCTCTTTCGATTCAATCCTTGGTTCATCTTACCATTGGTAATAAAGTCACCCACCAGACAATTACATTAAAACACCTGACCGCAAGTGCAGGAAGGTTGCAGTTTCTGCGACCAAAGCCACACCTCCGCGATCAGGCAAGTTAACTAGTAAACGAAGCGAAACCCGACAACTTGGGAAACAGGTGTAAAGTCCACGAGCACATATTAATGGAAGCTCCTTAAATGTGGGCACTGTGTCTGCGCTCCAGCATTCGTCAACTCTGCGATGCATCGCGATGATTGCAGTGAACGGATCGAACGCGATCGCTCCCATCGCTTGTCCACCGCGAATGACATGTCTCTGCCTCGACTCAGAGTCTGACCGACATCCAATACTAATACGGCGAGACCTCATGCTAAATATTAACGGTAGACATCCTCCAGGTTTAGAGGCGTGAAATGGCCACAACCACTCGCCAACACTTGACCAAGGTCCTATTGCAAATTTGGCGCTCTTTCGGCCGAAAGTGGCACTACCTCTGCCAACTACAAGACTCACGGAAGGTACTGTTGCAACAACCTAAGCGGAATATGGTTTTAATCGACCAGCCAATCCCCATTACCTTGTATACAGAATGTTCCTCAATGATCGAGTCGAATCCATTGTACAGATCGTTGAGTAAATTCACAATCTGCAATGAAAATGAAAAATAGACAAAAAAATCTAGTAAAAAAATCTAAGATTTACCTGGAAAGCTGTACACTTTGCAGCTAACTGAGTGAACTTGACAACATCGGAGAAGAACACCGTGACGCTTTCGAAACTTTCTGGTTCGACTGTCTGACCCATTTTCAAGCGATCCGCTACTTGCCTGCAATTTTCCAAGTGAGGTAGTTGAGACGAGGGTAAGAAAAGATTCGTTTAAAAGCATGACGCTGTTCAGCCAAAATCGCTATTTTTCATTTTCAAAGCTGTGAACAGCCATAATACGTTTTCATACCTTGGTAACATTCTGCCCAAGAGAAGTCGGCTTTTTTCTTCTCTTCCTGTAGTTGCTTCGTTCTTTCTTCGACATCCAATTCAAGAGTTGTTGTGTAGTCTTCCAACATATTGAACATGTGATCCATCAGATTGCTCTTCGTGTTTGGCATCATCGCCTCAAATGTATTATAGAACCACTTTTCTGTCACACTCTTCTTCCACACTTTCTAAAGCAGAATTCCTACCTTCAAGATGCTGCACAATGGACCGACGACAGGTCGATCCTCTGGTTTTTCGCCCCAGCAATCGCGTATGAGGTGAAGCTGAAAAATGTGTAGCCTCTCAATCTCTCTCACACAACCTTTATTACTTATGAAGACTGAGTTTTATACAATTGCGCAAGCTCCGCCCACCGTGGAGATGAAGTGTGCTTTTGGTTCACGTCCCACCATACAAAACTTGATCTAGTCTCTCCAAGTAGGGTAGGTAATAAAGAATGTCGTGACAAATACAGGTAAAAGTAAATGGACAATCAGACAAGCAGATAGAGGAAGCAAGTTATAGTAAGTGGAATCTGCCTTTAAGTCTTTTGCCATGCCAGGATTTCCGATAACTATCGTGTCTGGAGGGAAGCAGGAAGCGAAGCTGATCTCTCACACAGGGGAGTTTGAGGCAAAAGCACGAGGCCAGTGAACGCTGGTCCTCTTGAGATCCCTTTAGCCATGAGTTTCGCGGTTTAAGAGGCGGAGCGTTTCGATACGGCATGGGAGCGTTGATGAAAACAGCGTTGGGGAACAACCCACAGATGTCCTAATGCTGAGAGGTCTGTGATGGGTGGGGCAAGTATGCACTTGGACTTAAAGGCAGTGCGCTAGTTCCGATGACGTCCAACGACGTCATCAACATTCACCTCTAGCCCTCCAGCCATTGTATGCACTGCCTTAAAACAAAGCATTTGCCCCATCCATCGCTGGAAATAGAATTATAGTGCTCACCAGCGTGACGTTGATATCGCCGTCGGTGTTGAGGTCTGGACGCGGAGGTGCGGGTCCACTTTTTTGAGCATATACAACAGTTCTGAAATGGCCATGTGAAAGAAGTGAAGTTCAAATGGGGAAATGGAGGAGTTCCCTGACTCTTTCCTCACCATCAATTCGTTCTTTTCGTTCGTGCAAATCCCAAGCCGGCTATTCGTGTAATCACTTCTGAAGCAATAATAGCAAATGAATATATGTCACCCTCCTTGGACGTTCTTGCGGAAGTCTCGGAGACCGAAGATGTTCGGGAGCCATCCATAGGAGACCTGATACAGTATGATTCAATTGATCGTGAGAATTCTAATTTCGTGAAGTATTCACTGAGAAGAGCAGTGTCCACGGCAAGCTAAGGGCACTTTCAAGAACAAAGACATTAATTTCGTTTCTACAGCGGCCATAGAAGCAAATGCAGGTGAATAGAGACAATAATGCGTGACAAAATCCTCGAAATCATGGTACACTGAATATATATTTGCAAAAAGCCAGAAAACGGTAGCGGACCACTTGTTAATGACTAAGGTCGTAGTTTTCGAGAATTCAAAGTTGTGAGCTATCAATCGACCTACGCTGGAGGCAGAGGCGATTGCGGGCAACTCAGTCAAGACACCGTTCGATGGCGACAAAAGCGCGATCGAGGCAAGATCAATCGTCATGTTGGGGAACGTTTTGGAATCTGACGATCCGACTCTGGAAAAGATTCCCCAATATCCCGCATTAGGCCTTAATTGGAGGGAACCTATTTAAAAGGCATGGGTGGCGATCAGACTCCTAAAGAAATCCTCTCGGCCAGTGAGAAAGGAAGCTTAGTGGAGGAGGGGGAGGGGTTGAATACACAGGGGTCGTACCATTTTCGCAACTTAATGGAGCGTTCATAGTTGGCGATCGTACGTGCGATTAGGCGATTAGGCGATGATTCAAAAAAAAGTATACGTATCGATTAGGCGATTAGGCGAGTAGGCGAGTAGGCGAGTAGGCGATTAGGCGATTAGGCGAGGCGAGTAGGCGATAAGAGAAGGATACGTATTGATTTGTTGCTCCGCCCATTGAGCGATCGCCTAATCGCCTACTCGCCTACTCGCCTACTCGCCTACTCGCCTACTCGCCTAATCTATACGTATATTTTTCATTATAGACTAATCGCCTAATCGCACGATCGCCAACTGTGAACACTTCATAAGAGCGCACCATAAAGATGCTAATGCCTTCCCTTCACCGCTGCTACCGCTGCCATTCTCATCTTTCGCAGCATACGTGAGTCTGCGCTCTCTTGTACAACGTGCTCTTTTTCGTTTCTCCTCTTCTCATTCTAAGGCGGTATATCTCTCCATTGTACTAGGTCGACCTCATAGGTAAGGAAGCCATAATTTAGTGCTCCATATAGTTCTA